GGTGGGGGGGGGGGGTGGGGGTGGGGGTGGGGTGGGGGTGGGGGGGGTGGGGTCGGGGGTGGGGGGTGGTGGGTGGGGGTGGGGGGTGGGGGGGTAGGGGGTGGGGGTGGGGGTTGGGTGCGGGGGGGGGAGGGGGGGGGGGGGGGCGGGGCGGGGTCGCGGGCGGGGCAAGGGCAGAAGGTGGGGAGCGGGGGGCGGGGCGGGGGGGCGCGGGCGCTGGCGCGGGCGCGGGGGGCGCGGGCGCGGGCCGGCGGGGGCGGGCGCGGTGGGCGCGGGCGGGCGGGCGGCGGCGGCTGGGAGGCGCGGGCAGCGGGCGCGTGGCGCGTTGCCGCGTGTTGCGCGGTGCGCTTTGCGCGTGCCGTGCGCGTTTTTGCGCGTGCGGCGTGCGGCGTCGCGTGCCGCGTGCGCGTGCGCGTGACGCGTGCGCGTGCGCGGCGCGGCGCGTTCGCGTGCGCGTGCGCGTGCGCGTGCGCGTGCGCGTGCGCGTGCGCGTGCGCGTGCGCGTGCGCGTGTACTCATCTATGCCTCTGCCAACTTGGCTTCGGGCTATGAGGGCCTGAAAAACAACCCTTAGAGCCTTGAGGCTCAGCCTGAAGCCTACATCCCAAACAAGTAATCGTGATGGTACCCCTAACGGCCACACCAATCCGGAATCCTAATCCTAAACCCTACGGCCCTAAACCCTGCCAGAAAACATGAAGGCGAGTCTCCAGTACCATAATTCCCAAAGAATCCCCTTAAAATTCCCATAAGCACCATGAGAGAACCTTCCGGCTGTCTTAAAGTTCTGGACCTTATTTGGGGTGCCCTTTTCCGGGTCCGCACAATGGCAAGGACGAAGCTCGAACCCTAAACCCTAAGCCCTAAGCCCTAAGCCCTGAACCCTCCTAAACCCTCAACCAGACCATAGCTTCTAGAGACACGCCCATGCCAAAGAGCGGGGACCCCGCGAAACCGCGTAATGTAAAATCAGGAGTACCTCACGCCGGAGCAGCTCGATTCCGCCGCTCAACGGCAAAGATCTGGTTACCGGAAATTTACCGGTGCTATGTAGTGTGCTTATGCAAAAGTTGATGTGCAGAGTAGGGGGTTTGGAGCGGTTAGGCTTGGATTCTGAATGGCTTGGGACGTTCTGGGAATTAAGGCTGCAGATTGGGGGGCGTTCTGGTCTGGAAGCTTTCGGCGCACCTCTACTTGCTGAGCTCTTCCCAGGAATCTCCGGTTTTTTGGCGCAAGATGCGAAATAGCAGCCGAACCATGACAACACCGCCCGGAACCTGAATCCTCGGAAACCCGAAGCTCAGAGAGGGCCCGGCAATTGCAACATCAGAAAGCTGTATCCGTGAGGTGACGGTCATAACAACAGTTTTGCTTGAAACCGTCCAGGGTATGGGGCTCAGGGCTTGGTACGAGGAAGCTCCAGTTGCAGGACTGCGCAGGTGGTTTCGAAGCATGGTAATGTGCAAGAACAAGAACTTCTGCATAGGGCCTAACCCTAAACCCTAAACCCTAAACCCTAAACCCTAAACCCTAAACCCTAAACCCTAAACCCTAAACCCTAAACCCTAAATTCGAGGAGATTCGTGACACCATGGAGGTGCGCCGGAGTCGGAAATACGGCCCCTGACATTAAAAAGGCAAAGGGACCATGATTCAAGAACTGACCATGTAGCCCACAAGTTCTGGTTGGGCTTCGGTCTTGACTGAAAGAGGTGGTCAGGGGCCCCATTGCTTTTCCAAGCCTTCAGATTTTTCAGCCCTAAGACCTAAACCCTATGCGGTGGTTCTCAGGTGTATTTCGAGTTGTGTGGGCTTGGCTCTGCAAACTGTCTCCTGCGAATCTCAGATGCTTGGGCATGTCAAGCACCACATGCAAATGGTCCCAAACCCGAAGCCGTGCATGAACCCCGCGAATCAAACCCTCCACTTTGTTAAAGGCTAGTTAAAACCTGAGATCCTACAACCGCTGCAGATCTGTGGTGGGCGGCTGTCGATTACTGACCTTCCGAACGAGGTGCCCCTGTCAGATCCGTTGAGAGTGTACGTTCAGGCATTTTTTTTAGTTTGGAACGCCTGTGCCCTTTCTCTTCTTCTTTCTCTTTCTCTTGCTTGGAGACGCTTAGCCTGAGGAGTTGGGGAGAAGGTTGGCCAGGGCTCTGCATGAAACACAGAATACATGGCTACGCGGCGCCCCTGCAAATCTGCCGCTGTGCGCTGGGTCAAGATGCCATGCAATCCAGGCCTTTGCTTTCACATAAGGCGCGTTCAACAGACCAAGACTCTCGACGCCACAACCTGTCTAATAACCCTACACTGCATGGAATTGCGTCAGCTTTGCAACCTCAAACCTGCAGGCTACAAACCAAGTTGCAACCTAAACCCTGACCCCACAACCTAGACCCCAAGCAGTGCTTCAGGCGTGGCGGTAGAATGAATACGAGTGCAGGCGTGTTTCAAGAGCTTGGATGACCTTGAACCTCGTCACAAGAAAGCTTCATACTGCCAAAAGAGGTAAGCCAAGAACTCCATCGAAGTCCCCAAAACGAGTATTCGGAACGAAGGGTCAATGGTTCAGGGCGTTTGGTGCTAAACCCTAAATCCTAAACCCTAAATCCTAAGCCCTATAAACCCTAAACCCTAAACTTATGAGATGATTAGGAAGCTACAGACTGGAAATCTCAAATTAGTTATTGTGCATTTATTTTGTGTTTGGTTTGCGTTTTTTTTTGCATCTCAGTTTTGTGAGTTTTTTTGCGTCTCGTATTTTGGGTTGCGTTTGTTTTGTCTTTTTGTTTGTTGCGTTTTGTTTGCATTTTTGTTGTGTGTGTTTTGCGTTTGTTTTGTGACATGTTTGCGTTTTTTTTGTGCGTTTTGGGAGAGGGAGGGGGGTAAGCAGAAATGATAAAACATGCCAAACACAGTGTGTGTTTGCTTTTTTTTGCGTTTTGTTTGCGTTTGTTTTGCGTTTGTTTTGCGTTTGCTTTGCGTTTGTTTTGCGTTTTGTTTGCGTCTCAGGCTAAGGGGGCGAGGAAAGCTCCCCCCAAGACTGCCCCAAAATCCGAGACACAAAGCCGGGACGCAAAAAAAAAAAAAAAAAAACTCATCATTGGGGACCCCTGCCCTGTGGCTCTAATCATCTCGTAACCCTAAACCCAAACCCCAAACCCCAAACCCCAAAACCCCAAACCCCAAACCCCAAACCCAAACAAACCCAAACCCAAAACCCAAACCCTAAACCCTAAACCCTAAACCCTAAACCCTAAACCCTAAACCCTAAACCCTAAACCCTAAACCCTAAACCCTAAACCCTAAACCCTAAACCCTAAACCCTAAACCCTAAACCCTAAACCCTAAACCCTAAACCCTAAACCCTACCAGGTGGGCGTTGCTCTGGAGCACTGCGAAGTGCGTGTTGAGGCCCATCCGAGCTCTTTCGCCCCCGGCCCCTTGAAGCCGCGAGTCCCTGTAAGGCTTTAGGGTTTAGGGTTTTGGATTTAGGGTTTGGGGCTTGGGGCTTGGGGTTTAGGGTTTAGGGTTTAGGGTTTAGGGTTTAGGGTTCAGGGGCCCCAAACCCTGAAGAGAATCTTCACAAGACATGAGATCGCACCTTCGGGGTCAAGTACGCTTCCTTCTCTTGGGCGTTTTGTGGCATGAACCCTGAACCTTAATTTGGGTTTGTGTGTTTTGGGGGGGGCCCAGGTTTAAGAAGGGCACACGGGTTGCACACGGGTTGCACACCCGCGAAAAACATACCCCGTAACATACCCCCGAAATTGCAGGTAAAGTAGCTCATGATGCCGCGAAACATACCCGAAACATACCCCCGAAACATACCCGCGAAACATACCCTGATCCCAACACCTGTCGCCCGTCGCCCGCCCCCCCCCCCCGCCCCCCCCAATACAACACAAACCCAATTGATCTCTGGAAATTTAACTCCTAACCCTGCCCGTTACCTGCCATGCAGGCGCTGCGCAAGCACAACTCCTTGCACAAAATCCACAACGATCTGCTGCCTGGCTTCTGTTAACACCGATCTTCTTCGCAAAGTTGCACACAAGCAAGATGAGATGACTCCTGCAAAGGCTTTCATAGACATCCTCCCTCCTTCTCGGTGAACCAATTCAAAAGGCCACCAACTGGTCCACGTCACGACCCACAGACATGCTACCATGGAATGGTCCTAAAAGCATTTCGGCAGGGCAGAGACCTGGACTGAACACTGGAAAGGCGACCTGTGCGAGCCGAATCCGATCCAATTGCTGCTCTGTCTTGTCATGTCTTTCGGAATTAGAAACTGGTGACCCAGGTTCTCTCAGCAGTACCTCCTGTCCATCGCGCAGGAGATGCTCGGTGAAGCCCAAAATTGCAGGGGCTGTTTTGCAGCTTCCTCAGAGTTGTAACGATGTGATCATGGTTACAGCTGGCAGGGAAACGACGACGATGGCGGCGACCGCGACCGTGACCGCGACCGCGACCGCGACCGCGACCGCGACCGCGACCGCGACCGCGACCGCGACCGCGACCGCGACCGCGACGACGACGACGACGACGACGACGACTACGATTACTACGACTGCTGCGACTACCACTACCACTACTATACTACAACCACTACCTACGATGACCAGCTACGACGACTATACTACTCCTTCCTGACGAGACAGCGACCACGACGAAGCACTGAATACAATGCTTTCTCTTCGGGGTCCATGGAAGAGCTTCCGCACGGCCTCGGCCTGAACTCAAGAGCAACCGAGGATAGAGGAGAGCCTTGAGGAAGCTGGCTCGCTGGCGGTGTCGGACATTGCAAGCATCTTGTTCCTTAACTGGTGAGGCTTCGGGACCTTAGAACTTAGGCGCGCGCAGGTGGGTGGGTGTGGAATAAGGCGCCTCTGACTTTTCAGAACCTACAACACCGAAGCGTCACTTTCGAAATTCTTAAACCCTTAATAACCCTGCAAAGAAAACAACACCCTGCAACCCGGGGGCAGAGCATCATGAGCATCAGCAAGCCAGCCCGGAGCCTCAGCTGGCAAAGCCCGGCGCGCATCACGCAGGAGTTTCGCACAAGGAAAGGAAGGCCGCGGCACGGCGGATGCTGCATGCTGGCCGCCACCGCAGATGCATTGAACACTGCATCGGCAGTGATGGCAGATGACGCCATGGTGGACCTCAACCCTGAGGCCGTAGAGCAAGCAAGTGCCGCCTCAAAGCTGACACAGCCCGCACATCATGAGCATCGGCAAGCCAGCCCGCAGCTTCAGCTGGGACTCCAGGCTAGTAGCTTGCTGATGCTCATGATGCGCACCGGCCTTGCCATGAGCATCAGCTGGCAAAGCCCCGCGCATCATGAGCATCAAAGCCCTAAACTTCCCGACTACGCCCAAGCTGAGCCTAGTTCCCAAAATAAGGCCACAGGCTTTTGCTGCACATCCCATTACCTCCCACACGCCAAGTGAACCTCAAACGCATCCAGACACTGAACTGGAGTTCAAGCATCGAGTCTTAGGTCGATACAACTTGCCAGCCGACTACATCCGCAACTCCGTCTTGGTGCTCCTGTCCTCGACGGAGGCTTTGGGGTGGTGGCTAGGGGGATGCTGGAGGTGAGTTTCATGCGCCAACTCTAGGCCCTCTACTTGGGCTTGAGTCTTATGTATGCTGTCTCTGATGAGCAGCAACAAACAACTCGCAATGCGAAATGAAAGGAGAAACTATTCAACCCAAGCATGAGGCGGTGATTCGGCAGAACGCTGTGTACACCGGCTCGTACGCCACCCGCGTGGAGGCGGGTATGGAGGGCTGGGCATTCGGAATCTCGGGGACCCCGAATCACCAGAAGGAAGCGGCAAGCCCGGAAATCCCAATGCCATCACTTCTCCAAGTCCTCGAAGCTGAAAGCTCAAGGCCTTATCCCCTGCACCCAGAATCGACTCTAGCCCTAAACCCTAAACATGAGGAGCCCTGGACACTAAGCCCTGCCCGAACATGTCTCGGTGTGTGTAACTGCACCCGACGCCGGAAGGCTGCACGTCCCTAAAGCCTCTGCACCCTCAAGTTGCAAGTGAAGCCCCAAAGCCCTTGAAGCCTTAAATCCCCTGACCCTAAACCTGAAACTCTTGCGCAGGCGCGCGTTCGCGGGGCCCTTCGCGGGGCGACCCAGCCCGTGTCGCTGGCGCAGTTGAGTGCCCGGCGCGGGTCCTCAGCTATTCAATTGGTTGGGGGTTTAGGTACCTTCGGGTTTGGGGTTTAGGGTTTAGTGTTTATAGGGTTTAGGGTTTAGGGTTGATAGGGCTACCTGAACGTTAACGCCCCTAGACACTTTGGGCATTGTGAGCTTTGAGGGGTTGCTGTCCTAGCACGAACTCCTGGATACCCTCTGAAATTCCGTCCGTGAGGGCCCGAAGCTACTGACTCGAGATGACAAGGAGAGACTGTGGGATTCCAAGAGGGTAGCGAGGAACATTGCAGCAATAACGCTCAGATTGCAGTGAAAGGCGCAGTGTTTCACCATAATGTCTAAATTGCAAGCGAATGCAGACAATACACTCTGCCGCGATCCCCATAAACCCCACACCATGCACTTCCATAGCAAAGCTCACCCTGAATGTAGATCAGGTGTGAGAATTGATAGGCGTAGTGAGAGGCGCAGTGGGTGCAGAGTCAGCGGCATGGGTGGTTCAGGGGCTTCGGGTCGCGATAGTCTACAGAGGAAGAAGGCGTTGTCGCGGTGTAATGGCGTAATGTCTATTCTGCCACCATGGCATCCGGCCTAAACAAAACCTGTAAGCCCGAAGCCGAAGCGACTGCCAAAGTGCCGAAGAGCAGCAGGCATGGATTCGACGCCGACCTCCTGCCCAATGCCGTGCAGAAGCTGATTAAGGAGGAGGCATCCCATCATCTTAATGGGCCCCCAAGCTGTATACTCTCCAGCAAGACCCCCAACAGCTCGCCCCCGTAAGTTGGATCAGCTCCGCGCGCAGGGTCCTGAGTCGTGAGTGTTCGAGGATTGTGGAGGGAGCAGGGGTGCCTGGAGAGCCGTGCTGGATGGTGTGGGTGTTGGGGGCGTTCCTTTGTATACTCGGACCTAGAGTAGGCCCTGCTTCCCTTGACCTGAAGACCCCTTTGTAGGTCACCTAAGAATCCTACAAGGGGGTTTTAGAGTAAGAACCTACAAAAAAAGTGGGCTCTGGCTTCTTAAGGTAGAGCTTATTTCTCCGAATCTGGACAGGTGGTGCTCGGGAAGCTGCAGGGCTCGACGTTTACGCCCAAAGCGTACACCGAAGCCGAGGCGAACAAGGTTGACGGTGGCTGGGAAGCAGTTGGGCCGGCTGGACCTCGAAATCCTAACTTCCCAAGCCCTGGAGCTTAGCCACACCCTAGCATATGCACCCTAAACCCTAAACCCTAAACCCTAAACCCTAAACCCTAAACCCTAAACCCTAAACCCTAAACCCTAAACCCTAAACCCTAAACCCTTTCGTTTAGGAGCATCTGCCCTACTTCCGAATAGTGTCCTCGATGTACTTTACGGGCCCATCCCCTAATCAAGGGGTCTTGGGGCTCCCGGAACGCTAAACCAAAAACCCTAAACCCTAAACCCTAAACCCTAAACCCTAGACCCTAGACCCTAGACCTTTGTGAACGGGCTGAAGGGTTGGGGCTTCTGCGGTTTGGGCATCCTACAGTGCAGGATGTCTCTTGGTACTTGAAGGTTTCCGCTTTCGGGCAGAAAGTCTATTTTCATATGTGGTTCTTGTGTGAAGGCTGCTATACTTCTATACTTGGGGGGGTAATTGCAAAGGAGTGCCCTCATTTCTGGAAACTCCCCATGCCCGGTCCTTAGTTTCATCAACATGAAGTCTGCCCTCGGGCGGGTGGCTGACCCTTACCGGTCTTTCCTGCTCCGACCCTGGCTCATCTGGGTTTCGGGTTTAGGGTTTAGGGTATAAGGGTTTAAGGGTTTAGGGTTTGGGGTTCTGAAGCACTAAACCCCACCATCCTGAAGCCCGGAGACCTGGAACCCTGGAACCCTGGGCCTAAACTTGGGATGTCCCCCCTTATACCAACAGTCCTTCACAGGGATTATAGTACCCCCTGTTAGAACCCCTACTAAGGACGGTTCGTATAAGGGGGAACATCCCAAACCCTACACTCAACCGGCCATCTCAAGGCTTCTTTGAAGCCAATGGCTACCTTACCGCTGCAGCCGCAAAGTCATCTGGGCTCACGCTCAAGGATTCCCCTGTGCTTTAGGGCGCAGTCGCCTTCCCTAACCTGATGATGCTGAAAATGATTGCTACTTGAGAAGCAAACATGACAAGACAAGAACTACATACGAACAAATCATGCTGGTAATGCAAATACTAATAATACTGAATCATAGCAAGAAGGCCAAGAATAAGAAAAGAATACTTCGGAGACGTTTGTAAATCTGAACCGCGATGGTAGCAATACTAATGGTAATATGCCTACAAGGTTAATCTTTTTTCCTGTGGTGGGGGTGGGTTACAATTTTAGATGGGGGGTGAGTGGCAGGTCTGTCCCTGTTTGTTGTCATTGGTGGGTGCTTCAGGGTCTTGGAGTTTTTTTTTGGGGGGGAGGAAGCCTGTATGGGTTGCGCACTTTAGGCATCTAAGGCTTTTGGAGTTTCGGAGTGTTGCAGTGGACTTTGAGGCGACCGCTTGAAGCACTCACCTATGGGTTTTGAGGAGTTTGGGTGGGCCCTTTTCGCCCGCCCGCGGGCGGGAGCCCCAGGGCTCAGAACCCTAAAAGTTTAGGCCCCTCAAAACCCCAACCAGCTCTAACCCCCTCAAGGCCCTGAAACCCTCTTTTCTCTACCCCACCAGTGGCACAATCTCCTGTCAGGAGTGGGTGGCCCAACGAAAGGCCGGGTTAAGAGATGTCAGGAGTTTCGGAGTCGAGACAGAGGGCTGGAAGGATACAACGAGCTGCGTTTCTAAAGGTTTCGGGTGTAAGGAGGGCCGTGTAAGGTCCAGCACAGGAGCTAAGCAAGTGTAGCTGCAAGAGCTATTGGCCATGAGAAGGGCTCTACCTAACACCAGAGAGGTCCTGTCTTATTTTCTCGCGTGCGACGTCTCTCAGAGGCTCTATGCGATATGAGCAGAAGGGCACAGCCGCATCGCGTACCTGTCGCCACATCTAGCCGTCCCACGTAAAGTGTTCACAGCCAACGAAGTTGCGGTAAAAGAAGGTGCGGTTTAAAAGCTGGGAGCCTCGCAGGAAGGCATCGGCTCTCTGTTAAACTTTTGCTGCGGCTCTCTGCAGGCATCGGGCTACAACTTGGGCGGCGCCTTCATCGCCACACACCTGGTGGACTCGGCGATGGCATCCATCACCGATGCGCTGTCGGCTGATGGGTGGATCGATGCGCAGCCTTTGCTGCCGCATGCGCTGACGGCGCCTGGGCTCATACGAACGGGGGCAACAGGCGAGGTTCTTTTGGAGGCAGCACTTGGCGCCACTGCTCCAGCAACCTGCTTCCAGATGTGTAGGATGCGCAAGCTTATCTGCACCAGCCCTATGCCAAGGTTTGCCCTAGAGTTTTCTACAAGCTTTACACTTTACATGATCGATAGATCCTGAAATACAACGCACAGGCATGTCTCTCAACTATGGTGCCTTCCATTTTGGCCCTGAATGTCAAGGCAGTGTAAGAGGGAGCTGCCCTAAACCCTACATCCTAGACCCTAAACCCTAAGCCTAAACCTGAAACCCCAAACCCCCAAACCCCCAAACCCCCAAACCCCCCAACCCCCCAACCCCCAAACCCCCGAAACCCCCCAAACCCCAAACCAACTTTAGGGGCAGACGACAGCCGAGGCCGCCGATGCTGCGGAGCTGCTCCTGCAGCTCTCAAGCCAGACGCCGGGCTTCGCTTACAGGCTTTAGGGGTTGAGGGTTTAGGGATGTTTAGGGTTGAGGGTTTAGGGTTTAGGGTTCTGCGCAGCTTTTGAACGTAGATGATGTGGGGTTTAGGCTCAAATTCTGGGGTTCGCGAGGCAGGGTTTCTTTGTTGATCGGCCTGATGGTTTGGAGTGTAAGGAGTTTGCCAGGGTTTGTCAGAGGATCTTAAGTGCAAGGTCTGGGACTTGTGCACGGGTTTAGGGCTCAGGGATGTGTAGGGCTTATGTTTACACGGCTGGTATTCCGGTTTTGTTGGCTGGCGCTGGCTCTACACGGCGTCTCCTCTTCCAAGTGCTAAGTGGACGACCTCTTCAGCACAAGCAGGTTATCTTGCTGAAGCCGTGCGAAGTGCGAAGCTCTGATTCCAAACTACCCCAGCCCCAAACCCCTAAGGGCCCCTAGCCGCATCCCCTCCTAGAGGCCCTACGCCGGAAGCCTTAAACTCTACATCCGGTACTTCCTAGATATGACCCTGACCGCCGATGTTTCCGATGAATGTGCCGCACTGAGCCTGTAAGGAAGAGGCTGCCCGGCAATGCCGTGGTTTTGGACCGCGTGGCTGCAAGCACTGGCTTCGTCCAAGGCAGAGCCAGGGCCTGAGGGTTCCGGGTGGCTGCGGGGTTTAGGGGTGTCTGGCTTGGGTTTTGGGATGTGCGGTTCATGACGGTTCATGTGCCTGCGTTCTTCGTCGCCCGGTTCAGGAGATCTAGCTGAGGACTTGGAAGCAGAAACTCTCAGCCGGAACTCTACAAGACCCTCAAAACTCCGATTCAAGTCGGCCAGAGCACAACAAGCATCCGCCAGAAAATGAAGTATATACATATACAAAAATATATTATATAAATATGTTTATACATATAATATAAGAGAATGTAATAGAATATGCTATAATAGAGTAGAATAGACTGTAACCTAATGTAATGTCATGTCATGTACTGGAATGTAATGTAATGTAGTGCAAAGTAATGTCATGTAATGTAATGCAATGTAATGTAATGGAATGTAATGTAATGTAATGGAATGTAATGTAATGTAATTTGATATGATATGATATGATATGATAATACAAAGAAACAGATAAAATACGCAAACAAACGAACAAAGCGCCAGCGCTCAAGCGCAGCCAGTGCAGATAGTGCAGGCATCGCCAAGGCCATGGAAGGCGAGGTGCAGGCGTGCAGGGCGCCCCATGACACCCCCCCCTCGCCCCCGAGCCTACCCTTATCAACCCTTGGCCAACACCGTTTGGGGTTGAGGGTGTAGGGTGCGCAGGGCCCTAAACCCTAAAACCCTGCAAAGCCCCCTTCGGTTGCAAGGGAAGTGGACTTCTTGACGACAAAAGAACCTCATATTCGAGCGCGCGTCGGGTAAGCTTCGCTGCCAAAAGGCAGCAGCCGAAGCCGCCACAAAGAAGCGCGGCGCCAAGAAGTCTGTGGAGGAGGAGGCCGCCTGGGCGCTCTGAAGTCCGCAGAGCGCAACCTAAACCTTAAGCCCTAAACCCTAAGCCCTAAACCCTAAACACGACACCTCAGACATAAAGCCTAGGCCCCAAACCCAAAACCTTCAGACCCCTAAAACCAAAATATTACTCAGGTTTCAGAATGCGGAACAGGGTTTTGGGCTCCTTGGGGGCTTCTTGTACAAAGGTTTTAGCGGTTTGAGGGTTTCAGGGCTTTCGGGATTTTGGTGTTTGTACAGGTTTTAGGGGTCGAGGGTTTTAGGGTAGTGACACGGCCTATGTTTGGGATGGAGGGTGCGAGGGTTGGGGTTTTCTCTTCAACATGAGTGCTCGCTACCCCAAACTAAAAAAACCCCAAATAGATGCTGTAAACTCGAAACTGACAAGCCGAACCCCCATCCCCGAAGTACCAAACCCCAAGCCCCGGAAACCCGGCACCAGGAAGACGAGGGGCCCAGTAAGAAGGGCGCCAAGCGCGCCAAAGGGGGCAAGAAGAAGCGGGGAGGCGGGGTGGGAAATCCTGGCTTGTTGTTCCTTCGTCTATGGAATGTTGTTTTTGCTCTGTTGTTTGTTTTTTCTGAATTCCGAATCGGATGGCAATAACCTAGGTCGAAGGAAACTGCAAATACAAGTATGTATGTGTGTACGTGTATGTACATGTATATATATATATACACACACACACTTGTTTGATGTAGATGTGAGGTATTTGCTTAATCTCTAAAGTGCCAAGAGAAATGTTCAGTGGACGTGCGAGTTCAGGGCTCGGGCTCAGGTACCTACCAACAGGTTCCCATTGGGAATCTGGCATAGAGCTCGAAGCATCGTGCCTCTCAGTTTGTTGGCCCAGTTTGGGCGCCTAGTGTTCGGGGCACGTAACATGAGTTTTGGGATTTAGGGGCACGGGGGGGGGGGGGGGGGGGGGGGGGGGTGACGATGAATGTAAGGGCTTTAGGGTGTTTTAAATTAAGATTCATAGGATGCAGCGCCCTAAACCCTAAACCCTAAACCCTAAACCCTAAACCCTAAACCCTAAACCCTAAACCCTAAACCCTAAACCCTAAACCCTAAACCCTAAACCCTAAACCCTAAACGGTTTGGGGCTTGCTTAGGGTACCCTTGTCCAGGCGACGACGACGAGGGCGCAGAGACGTCTCGTGCTGGCAACGCCGAATCAGGCCTGGGCCTTGGCGAAGTGTTCAACTCCGGGTCTCCACACCCTAAAAGAGTTTAGGGTTTAGGGTTAGGGTTTAGGGTTTAGGGTTTAGGGTTTAGGGTTTAGGGTTTAGGGTTTAGGGTTCCTCGCAACCCGCAGCTCTCAAAGTGCCGAAGCCTTCTACAAGCTCCAAAACCTACCGGTTCAGGGACCTGGTACTTAGAACCAAGAGGCGAACACGTCCTGCAGCATGTGGGGTCGTTGTTCTATATTGGGCTTCCCCTTTGCGGACTCTCCTTACAATGGAGTCTGATATGAAAGGTGACTGTCAGGGGTCCCAATGAGCATTGACCGCTTTGTAGGTTTTCTGGAGAGGGAGCCCGGCTGTGTTGCTGGACATAGAGTCTGTGCAAGCAGGTGTGTCGAACGACCTCATTGCCAACTATCTGGCGGTTGCTTTTCGGCAAGAAGACACGGCAGGATCAAGGGTGAGAGGCGAGAAAGAGAGCGACCCAATGACAAATTTGCATGATTTATGGATCGTTGACCCCCATGTTGTTCCCCAGAGCATGTTTCGAGATTGGGCCTTAATTAAGCCTTTGCATGAAGCGTGTGAGCATTGGAAAGGGGGGGTGTTCCAAAGTAGGACCATTATGAACTTCTCAAGCAATCGAGCCACTCGTGCCTGGGCTTTTGTGGCTTCTCGCATCTTTTCATTTCATGACCCTGAAAGTTCCAAGGCACTTGCAAACAGAAGACGGACTTGCTTGGGGGTTACGGGGGATATCGGACTAATTATGTTTGTCCGACTCAGGATTCAGGGCTCAAAAATCACGGCATTCCCCAAGCCACACGTGAACTAATGCGCTGCACTTTGTTGACAGGATGATGCACAGGACTCTCAACCCCTGAACCCCCGATCCCCTAAACCAGGACCAGCATCCGGATCTGCCAAGCGACATCCACGACGACCTTTTTGCGCAGGTGGGTGTAGGGTTCAGCGCTTCGAACGAAGACAAGGCCATGTGACCGAGAGGTATGCTGGCAGAAGTAGCGATCCCCAAGCCCGGGCATTCTTGAAGGGGATTCCTGAGCCCTACGGCCTCAAACCGAATTCCTAATCCCTACCCCCCCAACCCATCACCATGCAGGTGCAGCTGCTTCTGGCAACCATGGTTGCGGAAGTCGTAGACAAGTGCCAAGGCCGCGTTTTGACACTCCTGGGGCTGGCAGAGCAACAAATGCCACTCCCAAGAGTCGCAGGTCTCTGGCACCTATGCTCAACGCCTTGATTTGGAGTTTAGGGTTTAGGGTTTAGGGTTTAGGGTTTAGGGTTTAGGGTTTAGGGTTTAGGGTTTAGGGTTGTTCCTTCTTTAGGGTTTAGGCTTGTTCCTTCTTTTTGTTTTGGCGGGGGGGGGGGGGGGGCACCCTGCTCCAGCTATCTACAATTTCAGCATGGGGCTCGACATTTTTGTGGTCCTAGGTCAAAAAAGCAGACTCGCCGAAAGGTTCCGACTGTTCAGTTGCAAGGGTAATGGGCCTCTTCGCCTAAACAAGCAGCATCCGGCTGCGAGGTTGCGGTCTACGCTGCAGACGAAGCAGAAGCACCAGTTTGAGCAGGCTTCCGAGATGGGGGAGTCAGTGCTGGAGAGATCACTGGATCACTGCAGGGTTCCAAGTCTCGCAAGGGTACCTGAGGGGGTGTTGCGTAACCCCAAACCCCAAACCCCAAACCCCAAACCCCAAACCCTAAACCGAGACCCTAAACGCTAAACCCTCAACCGAGGGTTTGGGGTCTGCACCACCTTAAACCGTCGCGCGTGCAATCGCAAAGTCCCAGAACCCCAAACCCGGCAGCCTTTCGGCTCCAACTTCATAGGGTTCAAGGGTTCAGGGTTCAGGTTTAGGGTTTAGGGTTTAGGGTTTAGGGTTTAGGGTTTAGGGTTTAGGGTTTAGGGTCAGCAACGTGGAGGCGCCTCAGCCCATCGCAGCACAGCGGCGTAGCGCAACCCGACTCCTGAGACCCTGAAAACTTAACAAAGCCCCGAGACATTCCCGCAACCCTACTCCCTCCAAACCTCAAGCACCCGAAAATCCCTACCCCTAAACCCTAAACCCTAAACCCTGAACCCTAAACCCTAAACCCTAAACCCTAAACCCTAAACACCCTAAACACCCTAAACCCTAAACCCTAAACCCTAAACCCTAAACAACATCAACTTGCAGGCTGACAAAATCGTGCAGGAGCGCTACGAGAGGCTGGTGCTCGGCCTGAAAGCCCTCGAGGCAGCGAAGCTCCAGGAGCCGACTAGTTGTTTCCGGGTCTGGGTTTGGGGTTTAGGGTTTAGCATTTAGGGTGTAGGGTGTAGGGTGTAGAGTGCAGGGGTTGGGTTCAGAGTTTAGGACGCAGGGGTTTAGGTGAGCTTGGATTTTTGCAGCATTGTGGCTTAGTAATGCCTTGACACGACTTGTGACCTGATTTCTTACGAATAGCATGTGGTGACGTTGGCCGTCACCCCTGCGATGGGTGGCGGTCTTCTTCTCGTTCCGATCAATGTCTTGCATCGGTTGTGCGTGTGTAAGTTGCGGCGAGCGCGGTAAGCGGCGCGGTATGTTAGGGCTTTGCGGATGTGAAAGCGAGGGAATGCGCCTGGTCCACTGAGAGTGGAAGTTAATTGCTGCAAGAAGTGTAGAATGGAGTGTCATTGACCGCCAATTTCTTAAAAGCAAATGTTGATTTGGTACGCCACAAATTGAGTCCATCTACCTGGCGGCAGCACTGAAGGAGTCGCCGCTGCACCAGCAACTCGGGAAGCAATGGGGCGGTGTTCCTCAGAAGTGGCACAGTCAAGGAGCGGATCCCGAGAAAATGGTCCGCAACTTCGCCGGCGCTCCAACTGGGAGCTCTGAAGCGCCGCGCAATCCTTGCCCCAGAAGTCCGAACACCGATTCCCTAAGCCCTGAACCTGAGTTGAAGAATGTACGAATGCCGGTGCATAGATCTGAGGCATCTCCTGAAGGAGGTGGTGATGGAGCCGTGCCACATGCTTATTGCCCTGCGGCTGGAGGAGGTTCTGCACTCGGAACCCACAAGATCAAGGGCTGGCAATTTCGTGTGTTGCGTGGGGCGCGGAAGCATTTTGGGGGAGCAGTTCCACAGACCCGCCAGCAGCTTCATGCGCCAAGCAGTCCAAGGCATAGGGGTTGAGGGCTGGAGGTTGAGAGGTTGTGTGGCCTTCTGCTCTGTTACCCTAAACCCTAAGCCCTAGAACCCTCACCCCTAAACATCCTCAACCGCCACCTCCTGAATCCTTATCGACTCAAAGCCCGCAAACATGCTTACCTCAGCATGGCGCAGCAGGGTCTTCAATTTAGGGTTTAGGGTTAGGGTTTAGGGTTTAGGGTTTAGGGTTTAGGGTTTAGGGTTCAGGGTTCAGGGTTTAGGGTTTAGGGTTTAGGGTTTAGGGTTTAGGGTTTAGGGTTTAGGGTTCCAGCTTTCAGGGGTGTGGCAGATGGGTGGAGGGAGGGCGGCGGTGCGTGAGCTCTGCGGTTGCTTGGGGGGCTCAGCACCGAAAGGCCTGGGATTTGGTGGTTTGGGGCTTAGGGTTTAGGGTTTAGGGTTTAGGGTTCCAGGTTTCAGGGGTTTGGTGTTTCAGGTTTAGGATTTGGGGTTCAGGGTTGAGGCTTCAAGGGTTATGGGGTTTGGTCTCTAAGTCCTTCAGGGTTTCGGGATTGTGGGCAGGCCGTGAGCCGTGGTCCTTAGCTGCTGTCCACTAGCTTCGGTCTTCGGGAGCCTAAGAGCAAAATGATAGCACCGACCTTCCTAAACCCTGCCGAACCCTGAACCCTGAACCCTCAACCCTAAGCCCTAAACCCTAAAAAGGTCCCTAAACCCTAAACCCTAAACCCTCAACCCTACCTCACAGACAACCGCGAACTTACACCCGAACACCCTGCTCCGAGGCGACAGGGAGCTGTCCCGAAGTCACCGCGTCAAGTCGGAAGTGCCTCGGACAGTGCTCCATGTGGGTGAGGGTTGAGGGTTTTAGGATTTAGGGTTTTGGGTTTAGGGTTCAGGGTTCAGGGTTTAGGGTTCAGGGTTCAGGGTTTAGGGTTTAGGGTTTGGGGTTTAGGGTTTAGGGTTCAGGGGGGTTTTGGGATTGGGGTTTGGAGGGTGCTTGGGTTCCACGAGGAACCCTACCACTGTTTGCGCCGACAAGGCTCCTTAAGCGTTGAGGGCCCTGTGCTTGACCCCTCAGCATTGCCGAGCACGGTGTCAGGCAACACCGCTTCGTGAAAATCCCTAAACCCTAAAGCCTAAAGCCTAAACCCTAAACCCTAAACCCTAAACCCTGAAATGCCAAAGCCCTCTGGCTGATGTACATGCAGCCGAGGCAGAGTTTGGAGAAGCTCATAGCTGCTGAGGGAGCCGCCAAGGTAGAGTCTCTGTCCAGGCACGCGACTTCTGTCGCTTCAGCGTAAAACTTACTGTTGCTTTTCAGGGAATGACGGAACTAGGGCCCTGTATATACCCTTTAAGGGGTTATGATTATATGTTCCCCCATTCCGTATTGACCAACAGTAAGTAAAGTGGGGGGGCTGAGGTGTGGAGTTTGGGGCGTGTTGTTCGCCTCCTGGAGAACTGAGTGCTCAAGGCATCAGGGTTGTAGTCGAGTCTGAGGCCTGCGTTCCGAGCCAAGCCGAAACTTGCTAAACCCTACAACCCCAACGCCCCTAAAAGGCACCGAGGCTCTGAGCTGCTTGGGGAATTTTCAGAGTCCCCAAATCTTGAGCCACAAGCCTCAAAGGACCCTACAGCCTCAACCGCCCTGGGTTCTCGGAGGCTGGTGGCCATCTTCGCCAAGAAGGATGCGAAAGATGCTAAGGCTGGGGATGGTGTCAGATGGAGCGTTTCGTAACTAGGGAGTTTGGGCTTCGTGTTGTTTCAAGGGGCGGGGGTCTGGGGCGTTTCCGTTTAGGTGCCAAAGGTCCGGGTTAGAGTTTCTGCGAGAACTCGTGAGTTTCATGGACTCCAGCTTCAATCTCGGTACCTCTCCATGGTGAGGGTCCATTTGTCTGCGATCGGTCAATCCATTTTCCTGGCCCAATGCCGACACATGGTGTGGTGTCACTCTTCACGAGCGGATCTAGCCGCTGACCCCGACTTCTGGAGGATGTGGTTGGGACTGAGAAGGGCAAGTAAAGCGTTGAACCGATGGGGGTAGCATAGCAGCTCTATATCCAGTTCCAAGGCCGAACCCTGTATTCCTGTAGTGCACTGGGCAAGGACAACTTCGCACCTTGCAGCGTGCCCCCCCACCCCCCATGTTCGGAAAGGCGATAACGAAATTTCGGTGGCTGCCAGATATTAGCATCCAAAACCGCTGGCAGGAGCCGAGCAAGGAGGCCAAGGCAACTCCACTTCGCGTGAGCTTGTGGGTTGGTGCGAGTTGTCGCTGAGTAGTCGAGGAAGTTTGTATGTATGTAGAGTGCGTGATACCGTTTGTTCCTTAAAGTTTTCAGGTGCTCAAGAAGCTGTCAATTAACAGGTGTGTTTCGATGAAGCAACAGATGGACTTGTTCCCAATCTTGCACGACACGAGGAAGAAAAGACTCCTAGCCCTGAGCCTTAACCACGTAGGCTTTCCGACGCACCCTGCCGCATCCTAATAATAGGAGCCAGATGTGCTAGAAGGAGCTCATGTAGGGTTCCTTGTAGTCTGCAGCGTACGCTGGATAGTTTATAGGGTATCCCAAATCCCCCCAATTGGATGCAAGGTTTAGGTTTTCATATCCCTATGCCCGAAACGTACAACCAACACTTCAGGAGAAGCCGGGCAAGTCCAAGAAGAGCCAAGGCCCGAGAACTACGTCCAGCTGATACGCTGAAACGGCTGAAACCTGTTTCTTAAGTTTTTTAGGTCCAGGGTCTAGGGCTTAGGATTATGGTTCAGGGTTGAGGGTGTCCGGGTGTTCAGGTTTGAGAAGAAGGGCTCTTCTAAGTCCACGCCCACCCCAACACAAGCGTGGGCGCCCCTGCACTCCGGATCAGGGCTCAGCTCCCAGGTCGGACCCTGCACCAGGGCTTAAACCATATGTCATAGATGTATATCTAGAACGAACAAATATCTTATTTGTATGATATTTCTTAGATTTATCTCATACATCCATACATCCATACATACGTATGTGTATATATATATATATATGCATGTCATATTTGTCATCTATACATATGCATATATGTAGTGCACCTGGACTAGTGGTCTTGAAGCCTTAGACGGCGGGTGGTGCAGGACATGCCGACGAGGAGGAGGCGGCCCACGTCGACGTCTCTGAGCTGTACCACACTGCTGTGGGGACCTCTGGCGGTTTAGGGTTTAGGGATTAGGGTGTAGGGGGGATCTCTGGAGTGATTGGGAGGATGTACGACTGCTTCTCTACCAATACTGTTTGCACTCATTGTTACTGTTGTCACTTGTCTTAAGGCAGATGACAGCCACATCTTCTGCCGCAAAGTGGACAAGAAGAAGGAGAAGGCTGCGCGACGGCCTTTGGCCACCTGGGTGGGGGCTCAGGGTTCCCTATTACAGGCACGGTTCCCGTTTTGTTCTCAACTCTCAACAATTACTATTGATATTCCTTTGTGGTCCCTTTTGTAATCATACAAAAAGAAGAGCCCCCCAAAAGCCTTTAGTAATTAGTAATTAAGGCCCCGATGTTACCCTCTCCGGCTCTCCCACACCGGAGGCTGCTGCCCAAGAGCAGCGAGTTGCCTTGAAGGCTCAGCTGAAGGACCGGGGGGCACATGAGTCTGAGTTGGGTAAGCGCCTTCAAGACACTTCATCTCGGTACTGCACTCTCCTGTCGTGCTCCCACACGAGGTTTTCTGTGGCTTGGTTCAAAAAAAGGCCTTCAGAAGCTTCGATCAGCAGAGTCGTTTCTGGTACTCTCTCGAGCTGAGCTCTGCCGCCTCGCCCTTGAGATAGTCGTCCACACTCCCATCTACCGAAAACAGGAGCCGAATCATGTGCGGCAGTCTACTTCTGGGCTATGCGAGGGCTTCCTGCACCTCTAAAGACACGACTTTGCACGATTCGCAGCCAAAAGGACGATCCGGAACTTTGAGCCCGAAACCAAGACTTGTTCTCCTGTACACCTGAAGCGCCAAAGCTGTGGACCCCTAAACCCCTCACCCCTGTAGGTAACCCTTAACAACCTTTCACCCTAAACCTTAAAAATCCAAGCCAAGCCCGCTTTCCAACGTATGAGGAGCTCCCACCCTCTGCAGGGGTCTCAGGATGTCGCGGTGGCAACATGGTTTGAGGGTTTAGGGGGCTGTTAGGGGGGGGGGGGGGGGATGTAGGGTTTAGGGTTTAGGGTTTAGGGTTTAGGGTTTATGAGGGCTGTTGGGGGGCTCCTCTGGAGATATAGCGCACATGAGCAACGAAACACGGGCCCTTGGGCATAGGGCTTAGAGTTCGGGAAGCAAAGTTTTAGAAGCCTAGATCCCATAGAGCCCGGAGAACTGGCAATCGTTGGATGGACCTCTTGAATGTAGGATTGCTATACTAACCCTAAACCCTAAACCCTAAACCCTAAACCCTAAACCCTAAACCCTAAACCCTAAACCCCCGGGACCAAGGATGCCCTCGTGGTGTGCCAGACGGGGCTCCAGGTGGCTTTGAATGCCGAAGGCCTGCAGGGGATTTCAGGGTTTGGAAGGGGGGTGGGGATGGGTTTAGATTTGGATTTTGGGTTTAGGGTTTAGGGTTTTGGGTTTAGGGTTTAGGGGGGTTCATATTTGGGCCTTGGGGGACAGCTGAAGGTTCGGTAGTGTTGTTGGTGCAAGCAAATCTGTGGGTTTCATGAGGGATTGAGCTTCGGGATTCGGAGACATTTGGCGTTGGGATTGTTTAGGGTTTAGGGTTTAGGGTTTAGGGTTTAGGGTTTAGGGTTTAGGGTTTAGGGTTTAGGGTGGGGGGCCTTTCAACCATGGGTTTGTGCCGTGGATATATTGACGTTCCTACCGCAATGTTTCGAGCACCAAGCCTGCTGCTTGTCAAAAACACAAGCAGCGTTGACGAGGCAACTTACATGTCATGATCATGTTGCATCATCCTACTTCTGTGCACAAAGCCCACGAGGCTTCTACCGGGGTTGAGGGCAGCAGTCAAGCCATGATGCCTTCAATATTTGTAGCAGGTCCTCAGTCCTTTTAGCCTCCAAGCGAGCCCTTGTAAGGTTTCAGCCCTTCACTTGAACTTCGCCAGGCATCTCGTGCCTCGTCCTCCCCGGTGAACTTTGGGCTTTGCGTTTAGCTGCCGGGTGCCTGCACAATGAAGAGGCGCGGCTGTTCAGGGCGTAGAGATGTGTAAGTGGCAAGGTGTCCAGAAGATTCGGGAGTTTTGTTGGCATGCTGCTTAGAGTTCTTGATGTCGGCTGCTGCACATCAAGATGACAAGGCGTGACTCGGGAAGTTAAAGGCTGGGCAGGCTTGGCCAGGAAACGCGGCCGCATAAAAGTTGGCACGCGAATGGGTGAAGCGGGCTCCATAGAGGAATTTGATTCATCTTAGATACCACTTGTTCTGGCCTAGAAAACTCTGCGGGAAGTTTTTTCTGCAAGCGTCAACTCGGCAGTGAGCCCTTTCAGCAGCAACGACTTCTCAAGAGACTCTTGGTTCGCCAGGTGAAGGAGCAGTGCCTGAAGCTCTGCGACCTGTGCGACAAGGAGAAAGGCTTGCGACGTTTCCTAGTGCCGTGTTCAATATCCATGCCGGCATGCAGATATGTAGTAGGGTTCAGGGTTTAGGGTTCAGGGTTCAGGGTTTAGGGTTTAGGGTTTAGGGTACATTCAGTATAGGGCTTCTGACGGGCAGGGCCTCGCATGAACAATGAGTGTCACAGTAGGTCCTAGGTTGCTCTCACAAGGCTGGTTTGCATGTGGGGGGGCTTACGGAAATAGGGGACCCCTAAATGGACCCCCCTCAAATAGTAGGATTCGCTTTCTATTAAGGACCCCATCAACAAGGTACCCCTAACCCTAAACGCTAAACCCTTAACCCTAAACCCTAAGCCCTAAGCCCTAAACCCTAAACCCTAAACCCTTAACCCAAACCCCAAAACCCTAAACCCATCAAGCATGGGAGGCGAAGATGCAGTTGCTCGGGAAGCAGCAGCCACGGCATGGAGAGATCGGTTTGTCGGTTCATAGCCGCGCCTTTGCCAGCTTGGGTTTAGGGTTTAGGGTTTAGGGTTCAGGGTTTAGGGTTTAGGGTTTAGGGTTTAGGGTTTAGGGTTTAGGGTTTAGGGTTTAGGGTTTAGGGTTTAGGGTTTAAGTTAAAACCCGTTCAAGTTCCCCTCCCCGAGCAATAGACCCAATGAAACCTGTAAGCCCTCGACTCTAAACCGATAAGCCTGAAGCCCTGTCAACCCTATCAGCCCAGAGGGCATGATAGGTATGGTAAGACCCTCAGCCAAAAAGCTGGCCAGGCGCATCTAGCTCAGCACTCGCTGACGTTAACGAACCCCGCAGCTGGCACCCGCCCTTTCCAGGGCCATGAAGAAAGCAACACCCGACCCGGACTTGGGCAATGCAATGATGAGGCGAGCAAATAAATCAGGAGAGCACTGTATCAGCAGCAGCCGTCACCGCAGCAGTCTGTAAGAGTCATCATTCCTAACATCCTTCTGGCCTCGGAGGAGGGCGCTGCACCGGATCAAAGAGCAAATTGCCACATTCACTAGCAGAGTGACCACAGGATTGATCTCATCGCAATAAGAATAGATTGCAGAGCAAGCTCTAGTCCTTCAAGCAAACCTCGCCTGCCCCGGAATCGGCGGGGGCCAGCTGGCGTCCCGGCTTGCACGGCCTGGAAGAAAGCACTGCAGTCCGCAGGTGCAGAATTTCGAGCTGAGGGCTTAGGCTTGATGGTTTAGGGTTTAGGGTTCAGGGCTGCTTGCTGCGCAAGGCGCATTCGCTGGAACCTTGAACTCATGACTCCCATGACTCCAGCGAGTTGTAGCTGCAACCGGCTGCCGTAGCCGTGGAAGGGCTCGAAGAAGGAAGGCCTAAGAAGCACAGCGGAAGGCCCTCTACTTACGATTGGTTGGTAGGGCATGAGGGCATGAGGTACCCCATATCCTCCTTTCTACACCCTTCCAGGGATTATATGGGACCCTAAGCCCCTCATTCCCTGCTCACCAACAGTAAGTGCAGGGTTTAGGGGCTTCCGGTGATTCAGGGCGAGAGCTCCGGGAGTGCGCGGTCAGAGTCTGTTAGACCGCAAGTTTGTATGGGGGTCTACGAAAACAAGGGACCCCTAAATAAAGATCCCAAGTAGTAGGATTCCCTTAGAATAAGGACCCCAACAAGGTACCCCTAATTTCGGAAACCCCCATGTGAACCTTCGAGCGAATACTTTCATGGTTCTGGTGTTTGGTGACTGTCAGTGCTTTTTGGTGACTGTCAGTGCTTGTCGGTGTTCTGCTGGGAACTGCTACATGGCTTCTAGAAGCCATGTTTCTAAACGCACTGTGATTTTTACTTGGTCGCTCCTGTCACTCATTCTTTGTTTGTTCCTACCCTGCGCGTGTAAATGCATTACTGCGGTCAATATATATATATATATATATATGCATACATTTCCATACATATACATAGACATATACATATACATATACATTTACATTTACATTTACATATATATATATATATACATATACCCCCCCCCCCCCCGTGCTGACAGACCTTTACCTTGTCAGCTCTAAGAATATTCTTCCTTGTAAAGGCAATATGGGGATGATTATCCTCTATTTTCCGGGTCTACAGCAAATTGTGCAGCTTCAAACCTGTTTCAAAACTCAACGGCTGCACAGCCACACAGGCCATGGGGCAATCGCCATGCAGTCGCTACTGCGAGCCAGAAGACGAGGAAGACTCCACAAATCGGGAACTGCCCATGTCGCCCGGGCCCCAGCCACCAGTAGATTCAGCTATTTCGGGTACAGCTTGGGATGTTCCCCCTTATACTAACAGTCCTTAATCGGGATTCTTGTACCCCCCATTCTTTATCCCTATGACAGGACTGTTAGTACAAGCGCGGAACATCCCAAACTACAGTTGTTCAAGGCAGGCAGAAGAAAACAATCAGACGCCACCCTTGAGACCTTGCTCAAACTTCCTTTGCCCTCGATCCGGTGCCTCAAAAGCCTTTAAGGATTTAGTGTTTAGGGTTAGGGTTTAGGGTTTATAGGGTTTATAGGGTTTATAGGGTTTATAGGGTTTATAGGGTTTATAGGGTTTATAGGGCTTATAGGGTTTATAGGGTTTATAGGGTTTATAGGGTTTATAGGGTTTATAGGGTTTATAGGGTTTATAGGGCTTATAGGGCTTATAGGGTTTATAGGGTTTATAGGGTTTATAGGGCTTATAGGGTTTATAGGGTTTATAGGGTTTATAGGGTCTATAGGGTTTATAGGGTTTATAGGGTTTATAGGGTTTATAGGGTTTATAGGGAGCCGTCATTCAGGACACCTGGGACCTCAGGCCTGTAATGCCCGAAAAACAGAACGCCTCGAAATAAGTGGATACCCCTTCATAGGGTTTAGGGTTTAGGGTTTAGGGTTTAGGGATACCCCTTCATAGTTCTCTCTTGACTCTTGAGGGCACACGCTATTCGAGCTCCGGCGCCTGTCACGCGTACACGTTGTTGTGCTCTCTAATCGGTGGTCGAGGCAGCTGCTTAGAGCCAGGCTTTAGGGTGTAGGGCTTAGGGCTGTTTAGGACTAGACAGCAGGGAATCAAGAAAGTATGGAGACATCGTCGCATGAGTTCTGAGCCCACCATCTCACAATCAAACGGTCAAACACCCAACGCAGGACCGCCGAGCGACAGCGCTACGAGAGAGAGTTTGAGAGGCAGCCGCCACCATCCGTGGTTCAGGTCATCATTAAACCCACTAAACCCACTAAACCCAATAAACCCGAATAAACCCCAGTAAACCCGCAAGACCATATGCCATGGCCCCCCGAATGTCCCCCCGGAACAACTCGAAAAGGTTCTCTTCGCGGGAAGCTCTGATATCACGGGGGATGTAGGGTTTAGGGTTTAGGGTTTAGGGTTTAGGGTTTAGGGTTTGGGGGTTCGAGCGATCAAGGCAAGGCTCAGGCTGAGGAGGCCTCGGATCAGCGTTGAGGGCTCAAGGAAGCTAAAGCGGGCCAAAGAATCACCGCGCGACGCCAGCTTGTGCAACGCTGTCGTGTATTGTTGTATTGGTTGGGTTTTTGTCCTAAATCCGAAACCCTAAACCCTAAACCCTAAACCCTAAACCCTAAACCCTAAACCCTAAACCCTAAACCCTAAACCCTAAACCCTAAACCCTAAAGTCGGTCAATCCATGGTTCCAGCCTGTCGTTCAGGGCTCAGGGTGTTTTGGGTTCTACAGCTGAGGGCTGAGGCCAGCTTCAAGGACTTTTAGGGGCTTAGGGTTTAGGGTTTAGGGTTTAGGGTTTAGGGTTTAGGGTTTAGGGTTTAGGGTTTAGGGTTTAGGGTTTAGGGTTTAGGGTTAGCGACCTGGCGAGGCATGTGCAAGAGGTGCTCAAACAGGGCGCCAAGGAGGCCGGCTCTGAACCTACTAAACTCAAACCGTTTTAGGGTTTTAGGGTTTAGGGTTGTAGGGTTGTAGGGTTTTAGGGTGTTAAGGTTTTAGGGTTTTAGGGTTTTAGGGTTTTAGGGTTTTGGGGTTTTGGGGTTTTGGGGTTTTGGGGTTTTGGGGTTTTGGGGTTTTGGGGTTTTGGGGTTTTGGGGTTTTGGGGTTTTGGGGTTTTGGGGTTTTGGGGTTTTGGGGGTCTAAAGTCTCCCAGTTGAGTCCGTGATGTTCTGGCAATGGTTGAAGGTACATTCAGGGAACCTGTATGCCCTGAGTCCGCAGTTCCCAAAGTGTTTGAGGTTTTGTGCCATCGACATCCTGCGAGCCTCTGATTGCACCCTGTTCTCTGTCAGGGATGTGTTCATGACTTTTTCTTTATGTTTGATCATCTTTTATTTTTTAAGTAATTAGTTGACTGAAGATTTCTTGGGTCAGCCCTTGTCAGGTCTATTGTGCGAACTGCGGGTCCCGCTTTGTCAGGGGCTCAGGAGCTCAAGGAAAAAAAAAAAAAAAGGACCTGCCGCTTCTCCTGCAAAGTCCTTTAACGGCTCCCTCCTCCCTCCTCCCTCCTCCCCTCCTCCTCCCCCCTCCCTCCTCCCTCCTCCCTCCTCCTCCTCCCTCCTCCCTCTCCCTCCTCCCCCCTCCTCCCTCCTCCCCCTCCCTCCTCCCTCCTCCTCTCCCCTTTCTCCTCCTTTCTCCTCCTTTCTCCTCCTCTCTCCTCCTCTCCCCTCCTCTCCCCTCCTCTCCCCTCCTCTCCCCTCCTTCTCCCCTCCTTCTCCCCTCCTCTCCCCTCCTCTCCCTCTCTCTTCCTTCCTTCCACAGCACATAACCCCCAAAGGGGGTCGTCCCAAGGGACGTGCTCCAGCGATCCAGTCCTGAAGGGCGAGTTTGCAAGTGAGGAACGCCACATCATAGAGCCATTCCACACGTTGTAGCTACGTTTGGGAGCCGTTCAGTGCCGTTCAGTTCCGTTCAGTTTGGGTGGAATCCAACTCGGCAGATCCTCCTCAGGCCCTAAGATAGCCTACGTGGCTGCCGCCCTGCACTCCTCCTAAAGAAACCCTAAAGTTTAGGGCTTAGGGTTTAGGGTTTAGGGCTTCGCCAGAGAAGTTCGAGAGCTGCCTTCAACAGGTCTCTCGAAGCGGGACCTCGACGATCTGCCCCGCATGCCGTTGAAGCGCCCAGCGGAAAGTAGGGTTTAGGGTTTAGGGTTTAGGGTTTAGGGTTTAGGGTTTAGGGTTTAGGGTTTAGGGTTTAGGGTTTAGGGTTTAGGGTTTAGGGTTTAGGGTTTAGGGTTTAGGGTTTAGGGTTTAGGGTGAGCGATCTGCAGTGCCCAGAGGAGGATGGAGGGAGGTGCTTCCAAGAAGGTTCACATAAGCTCGGAGGCCCTCACAGTTCTGAACTACGAATTCGGAATCTCGGCAGGTGCTGGGCTGCGGCTTGGTCGCAGCATCCGCGGCGAGTAGAGGGGTGCGGCAGTCGCTTCTGAAGCACTGGGAGGCATCATGTCTGCATCCAGCCACCTGAGGCGCATCATGCTCGAATCCCGATCGCGTGAGCTACC